GCAACCACCAAAAGAAATGGCTGAGAAATGTCAATGGGGCCAACAGTTCACCTTATATCTGTGCCCTTTATCACAGTATTTACTGATTGTTATTCTGTTTAGCAGTCTGGGAGTCGTCTTGTAATCCCAGCTGCTTCTGGACCTCCAAAGAACAGCTGTTGCCCAAAGTTGGGGTTCCCTCCCCCCAATACAGACTTTTCTCCAGGCCTTTGTTGCCTTGAGGTGGGAAGACTGCAGTGTCCTCTATGTGCAACTGCACCTTAATATAATTTAGAAATGACAGCTAGTGCAGAAAGTGGCTTCTTACTTGCTACACTGCCATTATGCCTGTGCTCTTTTATTTGAGCTGGCTGTCACTTAATTTTGGTGTAAACATAAGAACATAAGAACGGCCATACTGGGTCAGACCAAAGGTCCATCCAGCCCAGTATCCTGTCTACCGACAGTGTCCAGTGCCAGGTGCCCCAGAGGGAGTGAACCTAACAGGTAATGATCAAGTGATCTCTCTCCTGCCATCCATCTCCACCCTCTGACAAACAGAGGCTAGGGACACCATTCCTTACCCATCCTGGCTAATAGCCATTAATGGACTTAACCTCCATGAATTTATCTAGTACTCTTTTAAACCCTGTTATAGTCCTAGCCTTCACAACCTCCTCAGGCAAGGAGTTCCACAGATTGACTGTGCGCTGTGTGAAGAAGAACTTCCTTTTATTTGTTTTAAACCTGCTGCCCATTCATTTCATTTGGTGGCCCCTAGTTCGTATATTATGGGAACAAGTAAATAACTTTTCCTTTTTCATTTTCTTCATACCACTCATGATTTTATATACCTCTATCTTATCCCCCCTTAGTCTCCTCTTTTACAAGCTGAAAAGTCCCAGCCTCTTTAATCTCTCCTCATATGGGACCCGTTCCAAACCCCTAATCATTTTAGTTGCCCTTCTCTGAACCTTTTCTAATGCCATTATATCTTTTTTGAGATGAGGAGACTACATCTGTACGCAGTATTCAAGATGTGGGCGTACCATGGATTTATAAAAGGGCAATAAGATATTCTCCATCTTATTCTCTATCCCTTTTTTAATGATTCCTAACATCCTATTTGCTTTTTTGACTGCCACTGCACGCTGCGTGGACATCTTCAGAGATCTAGCCACGATGACTCCAAGATCTCTTTCCTGATTAGTTGTAGCTAAATTAGCCTGCATTATATTATATGTATAGTTGGGGTTATTTTTTCCAATGTGCATTACTTTACATTTATCCACATTAAATTTCATTTGCCATTTTGTTGCCAAATCACTTAGTTTTGTGAGATCTTTTTGAAGTTCTTCACAGTCTGCTTTGGTCTTAACTATCTTGAGCAGTTTAGTATCGTCTGCAAACTTTGCCAACTCGCTGTTTACCCCTTTCTCCAGATCATTTATGATCTGTTTTTAAAGTTTTTAAAATGTTAGTTTTTGACTTTAAGAGCCTCTTGTTTATCTGAGATGCTACCTCTCTTTCTAAATTAATAGATAATTTGTGCGTTGGGGAAACTTTTGAAAGAAATCAATATAAAGAACTTCTTATAACTGAGGAGGTAAATGCTTTGAATTTTTTCTGCATGGAAAGTAACTGAGAAATTAATGTGAACATTCAGTAGCAGTAGCACTTTCTCATGTCTTCTCATGCTAGCATTTCCTGAGATTAGGAAAAATCCATGATCCAATTCAACAATAATGCTTGAGGAGGGAGGAAATCTTTGAAAGGTAAAACCATGTTAAGGCCCATTTTAATGTAATGCAGTAGGGATCAGGTTAAAACTGCTGGGATGTAGATCTGATTATAATGTAACTTCAGTGGAAGAAAGGGAAACATTGGTGGCTGCCATTCACTTTGAACTGGGTGTGTGTGATTAATCAACACATATTCCAGTATACTTCTGATTATTCTTTCCAGTACATTATTTAATACTTCAGTCAGCCTGTGTATATTATAATTCACTTTGAACAATTCCCTAATGTTTTCAATAAACATCTCATAAAACCAGGATATACAGTATACTTGAATATAAAAGTGGAGTTGCACGTTAATTTAGTTGTCGTGCTGTGTCATCTTATGCAGGACAGCTGGATACCATAAATTGTGATTGGGGATGGCAACTAACCCTTAGCAGAAAAGTCATTGATTGAATGGAAGGGGAGACTGAATTCCACCCTAACTCATACAGGTGGCCCTTCCATGTCAGAATTAAAGTGTCCTGGTGGGGGTGGGGTACCAACCTTTGCCATTCTGTTGGCTATACTGTACCTGTTCATGTATTAATTAGAGAGCTTTGATCTCTAGTGTCTTTAATTATGCACACTTTCACAATCTTGTATGTCAGCTTTTAGATTAAATAAAGCATAGTAATACTTCTTACAGCTCTTTGTGGAACTAGGGAGTTGACTTACGCTGAGTGGTTGAAGAGGATCCTGGTGTCTTGGTGGAGTTTTCCATAATACTGATTAGTGCAAAGCCCATACAATTACTAAGGCTGGTTGTCTGTTATAAAAAAAAATGTTTTTAAATCACAGCCTTGTTATGACAAACAGTGAAAGTCACAACTTTCTCTTCTTTCCCCTTCTCCCACTCCCGAAAATGTCATGGCACATATTATGTTGGGGGGGGAGGGGGAAGAAGGAGGCAAAGAAAGGATCAGGAGCAGAAGAAAAGGATATGGCTAGAAAGCGAATTGCTACTTTAAAGTCTGGTGAAACAGATCTTGATCCTCCTGCCAGGGACTAGTCAGCAGTAGTGGAGCCCTCCTTAGATCCCCTGCAGGTGGTAAGAGCAGTAACATCTTCACCTGGCAGCTGAGAGCCCCCCCTGCTGGAGTCGCCCATAAAAGTAGATTCTGCCTCCCAGGAGAGGTGCTGAGAAGTTGGAAATCATGGCGCATAAAGCAATGGAATCTGTGACTTTCTAGATAAGCAACCAGCTTTAATAATAACTGCATCCTATCTGTGCCTGTGCAACCTTGAGCTGTGTGCATCTATCAAAGATCATTCTCTGTTTTAAAATATTTAAAAGCTTTAAGGAAATACTGTCAGCTAGAAATTGTCAGTTTTAAAAGGTTAGTTTAAAGTATTTTCAGATATTACACCTACTCCCAGTGATCCTGGCCATTTTTGTAGATTTTCCACTCACATTTTCCTATTTCTTAAATATTTTTCTCTTCCATGTTTCTGTGGAGAAGACCTGCTCAAAGAGGGGAAGTGTAGTGGCAAGATCCACTGACCTTCAGTATAGTTAAGATGTAGTTATTTGAAAAACAAGTTCAGCTTAAAGTTACTAATGATAGCTCTCTTTACATGGACCTGTCTAAGGAGTTGGATTTAGTCAGTCAAAATTACTGTTCCAAAAACTAAAATTTTGGGCTTAGCAGCGAATTCATACTCTGGTTTGCGAGTTACTTATGGAATTGTGTTCAGACAATTTCCATTAGAATCAAAGGGCATTAAAAATAGTGGGCACATCAAGGATCTGTTCTTGGGTTTCTCTTTTCTATTTCTGTTGTTAACCTTCCAGCTCCAATGTGTTTTCTCCTCTATGCATATGTATGCCGTTGATACAGTGTTGTCTTACAGTGGCTCATCTTTACTGGAGGCGTAGTTCTTTTCCAGTGACGTGAGTTGAAGTGAAATGAAAACCAAATACATGATTTTTTGGTTCACCTCCCAGACTATAGAAACGGATGCTCTCATTAATGATTAACACAATAGCTGGTGGCTTAAAGTAGATTTGGGAGAGAGTTTTGGGATATCTCCCTCCTTGACCAACTACTGGTTTAATAATTTTCTGTGCCCACACTAGCTCACTTTAGCGTACATTTTTGAATTCCAATTCAAGTGGTATTTCAGATTATATCTTTGCCTTCATCTGTCTTCTAAGACCAATATGTATGCAAATCATAGATACAATAAGACTTTGACATTATTGTTGTTTTAGTAGTAGTAGTTTATAGCACCCAGTAGCATAGGTACAATATTGGTTTTGTAATGCTCCTCTATTACAAATGTTGAGCATACTGTATATGGATTTGTAATACATTTAAGATTTTCTAAAGTCAGTTTACCTATTAAATGGTCACATAATTAGGAACCAGTTGAGCTCCTTTTAACATCCAAGAGTCTTGCTTTTTTTACTTCAATAGATGTTGACTCAGGCTGATCATATAGTTACATTCGTAGTTAACATTCCTATATGATTGCAAAATGATTACTCTTTTCATTGCACTATGCTGTGATAATTTTTTTAGCCTGGATTTGAATGGGACAGTGACAAAAAGGGATATAAATGTTATGAATGAAATCATAATTTCTGCTCTGGGGATTTTCCTATTACATTAATGTCTTTTAAAAGAAACAGAAGGATATTTTTAGTATAGGTATTCCTATAACTCGAGAACGATGAATTTTTACACTACAGAAATATAAACACTAAATAAACATTACCAGATGGTATTTTCATGTGCCAATGGTGGCTACAAATCTGAAAGGAAAGCTGCTCTTTTCTTTTGCCATTCTGGATAAATATTATAGGGAGGTGTTTGTTTTGTATTTGATTTTGTTTAAGTGTACCGGAGTCTCAAGGACCCTATGCACATCTATGATGCATTTTGACTGTCAGAAATACCTGTTTCTTCGACAGTCATAGCTACAAATGCAACACTTGCCAGCGATCAGTATAACCTGTGATACAGTAATTTCCACCTATATTAAGAATAAGAAGCAAATGTGAAAACTCAGTTGTGTGGTGACTGTTGGTGACCACTCTTATGTTGAAAGTAGAAGATAACTGTATGGAATTTATTGCTAGGTTACTTGCACCATATAACTTATATATGTATATAGCTTAGATTGTATTTTTTCCTCACACTTGTGTGCTTTATTCAGAATGTGCAGCAAATATTATTTTTGTGGGTTTTTTTCTTCCCTGTTTTCACTGACTTCAGTTGTGTGTGTTTCCTTTAGAGATTCGCGCTCAACTGATAGAGCAGCAGAAATGTCTGGAGCAGCAAACTGAAATGAGGGTGCAGCTTCTTCAGGACCTTCAGGATTTTTTCCGCAAGAAAGCAGAAATAGAGACGGAATATTCCCGCAATCTAGAAAAATTAGCAGAAAGGTTCATGGCAAAAACAAGAAGTACAAAGGACCATCAACAGTACAAGTAAGAGAGGTTCTAATACTTAAACTCAATTCACTTTCCAGTGTTAGAAGTGGGTTAGGTTATTTATTTTGTCAAAGGTCCAAATACTGTGTAATCAGTCATCTCCCTTGCATTTTGGTCCCACTGACTTGTGGTACTGTTTAATTAGTGAATGTTCATGGCAGATTGATACAATCTCTTGATATTTAAATTGCACAAATATTATCGTGTGAAAGAACTTGGTGGGAAAACAAAATGTAATACCCAGCTGGAAGAGATGCACAGCATTGGATATGCAAAACTGTGTGCTGATTGTTGCAATGGAGTTTTCAGAATTTGACAGGCTCATAATAAAGGCTGATCAGCCTTCCAAAGAGGTGCCAGGAAGAGGTAAAAAAAGAGAGAAGAGGAGAGAAACTTGTTATTGTATGTATTGTTACATATGGGCTTTGCTGCCTCTTTATTGCTGCTATCCTTAACAAGGAAGAGTCATATTTCATACACGGCTAAATGTTGTATATGGATGTGCACCGACTATAGTAACTTTTGTGCAATGCAGAGCTGGTCAGATACTATTTGTCAAATAATTTATTTGGTACATTTTGCAAAATATTTCAAAAAAATTATTTGTTGAAATATTCTCTTCTTCCACCTAACCAGGTGGAAGAGGTGGATGAGGCTTTTTTTAAACAACTAACAAAATCATCCAAAGCCCAAGATTTGGTGGTGATGGGGGACTTCAACTATCCGGATATATGTTGGGAAAATAACACAGCGGGGCACAGACTATCCAACAAATTCTTGGACTGCATTGCAGACAACTTTTTATTTCAGAAGGTTGAAAAAGCTACTAGGGGTGAAGCTGTTCTAGACTTGATTTTAACAAATAGGGAGGAACTCGTTGAGAATTTGAAAGTAGAAGGCAGCTTGGGTGAAAGTGATCATGAAATCATAGAGTTTGCAATTCTAAGGAAGGGTAGAAGGGAGAACAGCAAAATAGAGACAATGGATTTCAGGAAGGCGGATTTTGGTAAGCTCAGAGAGCTGATAGGTAAGGTCCCATGGGAATCAAGACTGAGGGGAAAAACAACTGAGGAGAGCTGGCAGTTTTTCAAAGGGACACTATTAAGGGCCCAAAAGCAAGCTATTCCGCTGGTTAGGAAAGATAGAAAATGTGGCAAAAGACCACCTTGGCTTAACCACAAGATCTTGCATGATCTAAAAAATAAAAAGGAGTCATATAAAAAATGGAAACTAGGACAGATTACAAAGGATGAATATAGGCAAACAACACAGGAATGCAGGGGCAAGATTAGAAAGGCAAAGGCACAAAATGAGCTCAAACTAGCAAAGGGAATAAAGGGGAACAAGAAGACTTTTTATCAATACATTAGAAGCAAGAGGAAGACCAAAGACAGGGTAGGCCCACTGCTTAGTGAAGAGGGAGAAACAGTAACAGGAAACTTGGAAATGGCAGAGATGCTTAATGACTTCTTTGTTTCGGTCTTCACCGAGAAGTCTGAAGGAATGCCTATCCTAGTGAATGCTAATGGGAAGGGGGTAGTTTTAGCAGATAAAATAAAAAAAGAACAAGTTAAAAATCACTTAGAAAAGTTAGATGCCTGCAAGTCACCAGGGCCTGATGAAATGCATCCTAGAATACTCAAGGAGCTAATAGAGGAGGTATCTGAGCCTCTAGCTATTATCTTTGGAAAATCATGGGAGACGGGAGAGATTCCAGAAGACTGGAAAAGGGCAAATATAGTGCCCATCTATAAAAAGGGAAATAAAAACAACCCAGGAAACTACAGACCAGTTAGTTTAACTTCTGTGCCAGGGAAGATAATGGAGCAAGTAATTAAGGAAATCATCTGCAAACACTTGGAAGGTGGTAAGGTGATAGGGAACAGCCAGCATGGATTTGTAAAGAACAAATCATGTCAAACCAATCTGATAGCTTTCTTCGATAGGATAACGAGTCTTGTGGATAAGGGAGAAGCTGTGGATGTGGTATACCTAGACTTTAGTAAGGCATTTGATACGGTCTCGCATGATATTCTTATCGACAAACTAGGCAAATACAATTTAGATGGGGCTACTATAAGGTGGGTGCATAACTGGCTGGATAACCGTACTCAGAGAGTTGTTATTAATGGTTCCCAATCCTGCTGGAAAGGCATAACGAGTGGGGTTCCGCAGGGGTCTGTTTTGGGACCGGCTCTGTTCAATATCTTCATTAACGACTTAGATATTGGTATAGAAAGTACGATTATTAAGTTTGCGGATGATACCAAACTGGGAGGGATTGCAACTGCTTTGGAGGACAGGGTCATAATTCAAAATGATCTGGACAAATTGGAGAAATGGTCTGAGGTAAACAGGATGAAGTTTAACAAAGACAAATGCAAAGTGCTCCACTTAGGAAGAAAAAATCAGTTTCACACATACAGAATGGGAAGAGACTGTCTAGGAAGGAGTACGGCAGAAAGGGATCTAGGGGTTATAGTGGACCACAAGCTAAATATGAGTCAACAGTGTGATGCTGTTGCAAAAAAAGCAAACGTGATTCTGGGATGTATTAACAGGTGTGTTGTGAGCAAGACACGAGAAGTCATTCTTCCGCTCTACTCTGCTCTGGTTAGGCCTCAGCTGGAGTATTGTGTCCAGTTCTGGGCACCGCATTTCAAGAAAGATGTGGAGAAATTGGAAAGGGTCCAGAGAAGAGCAACAAGAATGATTAAAGGTCTTGAGAACATGACCTATGAAGCAAGGCTGAAAGAATTGGGTTTGTTTAGTTTGGAAAAGAGAAGACTGAGAGGGGACATGATAGCAGTTTTCAGGTATCTAAAAGGGTGTCATAAGGAGGAGGGAGAAAACTTGTTCACCTTAGCCTCTGAGGATAGAACAAGAAGCAATGGGCTTAAACTGCAGCAAGGGAGGTCTAGGTTGGACATTAGGAAAAAGTTCCTAACTGTCAGGGTGGTTAAACACTGGAATAAATTGCCTAGGGAGGTTGTGGAATCTCCATCTCTGGAGATATTTAAGAGTAGGTTAGATAAATGTCTATCAGGGATGGTCTAGACAGTATTTGGTCCTGCCATGCGGGCAGGGGACTGGACTCGATGACCTCTCGAGGTCCCTTCCAGTCCTAGAATCTATGAATCTATGAATCTATGAATCTTCAGTGTGCCATACATTTTTGTAGTGACAAAAATAACTTCTGTTGTATAAATTGTCAAGGACAAAGCTGCAGGTTTTACAGCTGGGCAGTGCCAGTGGAGGCTTTTGCGTGGGGGAAAGGATGTAACTTCTTTCTCTTCTACTCTTGGGAAGCACCAAAATTAAAAGTTATGGGGTGTCTTGAACTCCTACTTCCCCTCCCCAGCAACCCTTGACAGCAGCCTGACTTATAAATTGTTCTCTAGATGGTTTCCTAGTCACACTCCATTGAGATGAATGAGGCATTTCATCACACTCAGAACTGTTTGCAGACTCACACACCCAGCACTTTACATTTGGTTCATGTCAGGAAAGTTTTCTTTGCAACTAGAAATGGTATGGCCTGAATATTCTGGGTTCATAAGATGAAATCCTGGTCCCACTGAAGTAAATGGCAACCCTTCCATTGAATGTCAATGGAGCCAGAATTTCACGCATATATTTTAAGGCTGGGGACCACAATGATAATTTAGTAAGAGCTCCATCATAATACAGGCCATAAGATTTCAGTGCAGTAGTAATTTCTGCATCAAGACGAGAAGCTCAGTACACCTTCTTGAGCTTACACTGTGATATCCCCAGCAAGCCAGTTTGCCTAATGGCCAATGCCTGTGCTTTGCTTTCTCCCTGAGGGCTATAAACAACAGTATAATGTTGCCAGTTACAACTTACCCCACAGCTCTTTCTAAGCAAGCACCTTTATTCTGAAGGTAAAAGCATTACAGAGAAAACCTATTAAAAAACAGAATTAAACACACAAAATATGCCAGGAGTCACTCACCAGTCTTATGGGGTCCTATTAGATCAAGTTTTTCCAACCCATTGGCAAGGGTTGGAGCCCCCCTTCGGCAGAAGGTCCTGTCCATTTGCTGGATCAGAAAGAAGGCCCTGTATCAGTTCAAGCTCTTCCTTTTATACCAAAAGCCCTTTCTTTGTTGTCTTGTCTACAACACCCCAACCTGGAGTCCCTCCACCTCATGGCATGGAAACTCCATGGCTGAACCAGCTTGAACTGCAGTGCTCGGACTCTGTTAGGGAAGTTCTGTTGGGGAGCAGGAAGCGCTCCACTCACACAACATACCTGGCGAAGTGGAAGCATTTCTCCATTTGGTCCCTCCCCGCAGAAGCCTCTATTGCCCTTGTGCTAGATTACCTCTTGTACCTGAAGCAACAGGTGTTGGCAATATCATCTATTAAGGTGCATCTGGTGACCATCTCGGCCTTCCATCCGTTGTGGCAGGCAGGTCAGTCTTTAGCAATCTCATGGTGGGCCGGTTTCTTAAGGGCTTGAATAGACTTTACCCCCAGGTGAGGCAGCCCGTTCCTCAGTGGGATCTTAACCTGGTCCTTTCTGGACTCATGGATCCCCCTTTGGAGCCCCTGGCCACCTGCCCCTTATACCACCTTCCCTGGAAGGTGGCCTTTCTGGTGGCCATAACCTCGGCCAGAAGGGTCTCCAAGCTCAGAGCGCTGACTTCCAAGCCCCACTACGCAGTCTTTTACAAGGACAAGGTGCAGCTATGCCCTCACCTAGTGTTCCTATCCAAGTTAGTATCGCAATTTTACGTTAACCAGGACATATTTCTACCGGTATTCTTTCCTAAATCTCATGCCAACAACAAAGAGCGAGCACTCCATTCCCTGGACGTCAGGCGTGCCCATGCCTTCTACATTCAACGCACAAAGCTGTTTTGTAAGTCACCACAGCTTTTTATTGCAATCACCGAGAGGATGAAAGGGCTTCCCCATCCTGTCTCAGCGCATCTCGTCATGGATCATGTCCTCCATCAGAACGTGCTACGACCTGGCTAAGATCCCAGCCCCAGCATTGACAGCGCATTCCACAAGAGCGCAGGCCTCTTCCACTGTGTTGCTCGCACAAATCCCCATTCAGGACATATGCAAGGCAGCAACGTGGTCTTCCATCCACACCTTCACAACGCACTATGCCATCACTCAACAGGCGAGGGATGATGCAGCCTTCGGCAGGGCATTACTGCAATCAGCAACTCGGTAAACTCCGACCCCTCCTCCGTGGAAACTGCGTGGGAGTTACCTATTGGAATGGACATGAGCAATCACTCGAAGAAGAAAAGACGGTTACCTACCTTTCATAACTGTTCTTCGAGATGTGTTGCTCATGTCCATTCCAAATCCCGCCCACCTCCCCTCTGTCGGAGTATTCCAGCAAGAAGGAACTGAGCAGGCAGTGGGTTGGCAGGGACCTATATACACTGCCATAAAGGCACCACTCCAGGGGGCCCCACAGCCAACCCAGCGGGTACCACTAGGGTAAAAAACATCCGATCGTGCATGCAGCGCGCTCACACACCTATTGGAATGGACATGAGCAACACATCTCAAAGAACAACAGTTACGAAAGGTAGATAACCGTCTTTTGTCAGTGATGGAGAATCTACTACGACCCTTGGTAAATTGTTCCAGTGGTTTAAAATGTATGCCTTATTTCTAATCTGAATTTGTCTAGCTTCAACTTCCAGACACTGGATCATGTTATACCTTTCTCTGCTAGTTTGAAGGGCACATAAATATTTGTTCCCCATGTAGATACTTATCGATTGCAATCAAGTTACACTTAACCATCTCTTTGTTAAACTAAATAGATTGGGCTTTAAGGCAGTTTTTCTAATCCTTTAATCATTCTCATGGCTTTTCTCTGAACCCTCTCCAATTTATTAACATCCTTCTTGAATTGTGGGCACCAGAACTGGACACACTCTTCCAGCTGCTGTCGCACCAGTGCCAAATAGATAAAATAACCTCTCTACTCCTACTTGAGATTCCCCTGTTTATGCACCCCAGGATCATGTTTGTCACACTTGGAGCTCATATTCAGCTGATTTTCCACCAGGCCCACAAAATCTTTTTCAAAGTCAGTGTTTCACAGGATAGAGTCCCCCATCTTATAAGAATGGCCTACATTCTTTGTTCCTGGAGGTATACGTTTACATTTAGCAATATTAAAAAACACATTGTTTGCTTGCGCCCAGGTTACCAAAACATCCAGATTGCTCTGAATCAGTGACTTGTTCTCTATTTATCACTCCCACAATTTTTGTGTCAGCTAGGTGATCTAATGGTCCCTACTGGCCTTAAAATCTATGAAATATATTCTACAAGGTTTTAATACACTCCTGGTGCACAGAGGGAGAAGTTACAGAAAATTGCTACTGCTCAAGCTTGGCAGGTAACACTGAAACTGAGATATCAGAGTCCACCACAAGGACTGTTTGCAAGATTATTTTTTTTAACTAATATTTTATACTAGATGTTAATGGTGGGTGGGAAGCCTGAAATCTCAAGAATGTGTTTTTTAGGTCATTAAGTAAATAATGACTGAACTAACTTAAATTATTTATTTTGGCATTTTTAATAAAAGGTTTGATAAACTATATGTGATTTAAATACACAGATTGGGGTGGAAAGAGTCTGTAATGGAAACACAGAGATGCTGAACTACTGAAAAATGTCATATCAGTGGCCCTCGTACTATATAACTGTAATTGACAATGTTACATGAATATTAGTGATCAAATGGAACTTATGAATCCGGATCAGAGTTAGGAGACATTATATATTGTTACGGACATTTTTAAAACTATCACAATTAAATTCATTACAGTGAACAGTATTTTGATAGACAAGCACACCTATGATTTCTTTCTTGTAAAGTGTTTGGACTATGCTTACTGGGCAAGATTTTCAGTGCTAAGAGAAATAATTGGTACAACTCTTTTGCAATGGCCTGTATAGATTCTGAATGTTATATATAGTCCATCTGTAAGCAACTGCAAACTTTGTGTCAAGTTTTTGGTATTTGTAGAGAGGTTGTAATGATATGAATTCTTTAGTTTTTCTATTTGTGCCTCATGAGGCTTGTAAAACATGCCTTAAAATGCTATCTAAAGCTTGACTAACCAAATATATTCCAAGAATGGATTGACTGACTGTTCAGAAACAGATTTAGGTCCAAATACAGCTTACTTTATTCACAAGAGTAACCCTGTTGACTTCTGTGGGACTACTTGCATGAATAAAGGGAGCAGGACTTGACTTCTAGCATTTATCCTGGCAGATGCATGTGCATTCTTTCTTTACAGAGATCAATTGTTCTTTAATTTAATTCAACTTAAATTGTTGGGTTCATGTTTATGTATATCTGGTGGAGGATGGGTGTGGCAGGGAGATGTTTCTGATATGTTAATTATGTAACATATATATACTCTTTAGGAAAGACCAGAATCTCTTATCTCCAGTGAATTGTTGGTACTTACTCCTAAACCAAGTGAGAAGAGAAAGCAAAGACCATGCAACTTTGAGCGATATCTATCTGAACAACGTTATCATGCGCTTCATGCAGATAAGTGAGGATTCCACCAGGATGTTCAAAAAGGTAATATATATCATGTTGAATTTTAGTTACCATTGAAAGGCAAGCGTCTAAGAGGTAGAATTTTAAGGGAAGATTCAGCAGTGTAGTAACATCATCGGCTTTAGCATATTAATAGATTTTTCATGGCATTTTTCACAGGGAAAATTCTTACTACAAATGTAGTGGGGAACGTACTATCTGATGGTGACCTCAGGAACTGAACTGCTTTAAATTCAGGAGGTGAGGAAGAAGCCCTGTTCTTTGCTCAAAAGTGTATTGTGTAGTCAGGCAGGAAGGAAAAAACGGTTCAACCTAGAAGTGACAAAAGAATGTTGTTGGATTATTAGCAGAAATGCTGTATGGCCATGGTGGTTCTTCATGTACATGCAGCTGTGTATTTCACTTAGGTGTGTGGGTGCCCAACTCATTGGAGCCAGATAATTTTGCCTAACAGTACTCATAAAGGTGCAGCGCTTGTGCTTCATGGCCATAGTTCCTGCCTTGGCTATATGAGGCAGTGCTGCCTCAACCCCCACTCAGTTCCTTCTTATCACCAGTGGCTGGAGTTGGAGCTCTGTGGTGTTTTCACCCCACAATCCCTCTATTTCTTAGTGACTTTTCTAGTTGTATTGAGTTAATTAATACCCTTAGTATTGTATTAGTGTTAGTTTAAGTATTTCCCTGATGATGCCCTCAGCAGGGTTTAAACATTGTCCGTCGTGTGGGGGATCGGTCCCCAACAATGATACACACACACACACGGTGCTTACCGTGCTTAGGGGAAGCCCACATCGAGGAGCAGTGTTGGATTTGCAGATCGTTCTCCAAACGAATTCAGGTGGCGAGCGATCTTTGTCGAAGCAGCACCTGCTTGAACAGGCCGTTCAGCCTGCTTCAGCACTGAGGTCCTCATCAGATCAGAGGTCTCCCTCGGGTTCTGAGAGTGCTGCCATTCTGTGCTCTGGAACTGGTGCCTCTCCAAAGACACAGAGGAGTCGTTCCCTGTCGAGTGTGCTGAGGAAAAAGCCACTCCAGGTTCCATGGTGATTCATCTGCCTCCTCCAGAAGAAGCATGTATCAGCATGGTCACGCAGGATGGAGTAGGTCCCATCAATCATTCCCTGATACCAAGCAGTGAGGTCAGAGACCCCCTTACCATCGACTCCAGTTTCGGCCCTGGGTCTTCCATTTAGTCTGGTGCCAACAAGGGTAATGCAGCACCGTCTGTTTCTGCGCCAATGGACCTCCCCTGCCTTCATGTTCCAACCTCTCCCTTGGTCCAGGACTTTGCCAGTGCTGCATCATTTATAGCCCCATTGGCTGAGCAGGCCACTGAACCTGTGGGTCTGTTGGCACCATACCTCAGTGTTACCCGTACACAGTCAGTGGAAGTGGGGCTGAGGCTAGGCTCGACCTCCTCAGTACCAGGAATTTTTTAGCACCCCTGCTGTCAGCTTCATTTTCATCCCAAGACAATTCTGTGGTGCCTGACTCTTCCTCTCCTTCAGTACCAGAGGATTTCAAGGAGCACCAGAACCTTTTGTGGTGCGTGGCTGCTTCTTGGGTATTCAAGCAGAGTTCCTGGAGAGAACACCCATGCGTTGTTGGATATCCTACAATTGTCTGCCCTGGGAGTGATGCCCTCCCTATTAACAATGCACTCCTAGAGCCTGCTAAGATTCTCTGGAGTATGCTGGCTTCGGTACCACCTATAGCAAAGCACATGGAAAACCACTACCTCATTCCAGTGCAGGGATTTGCGGGTTTTTACTCCCATCCAGTCCCAAATTCTTTGGTCATAACCATGGTGAACAATAGAGCTTGGCAGGGCAGATTTATGTCCACTCCCAAGAATAAGGATGCTAAATTAATGGACCTGATGGGTAGGAAGATTCACACCTCCTCCTCCTTGCAGATGCGGATTGACAACCAGAACGCATTGCTGTCCAAGTACAGGTTTGTCAATTGGACAGCTATGTCTAAGTTTGCAGGTTTTCTGATTTTTCTTGTGCTGTCAGTTCAGCTTCCCATACCCTTTCCTCTTCATCCCAACCTACTCAGACAGACTCCAGTCGTACCTTTGCATCCCGTGCTCAGCTCACTGTATCTCACAGTGTGGCTGCATCATGGCTGAATGAGAAGGAAGTGCGGTGTTTGGTGGCTGTTCAACAAGTCCTACTCAACAGTAGAAAGCCCTCTACCTGAATGGCCTATTCAGTGAAATGGAAGCAGTTTTTAGTATGGTTGTTGGCCCCTGGAATTCAACCGACGCTGGCTTCTATTCAGGACATTTTGCAGTATTTGCTGCACCTTCAATCATTGGGCCTTGCGCGTAACTCATTGACAGTACAACTGGCAGCGACATCAGCATTTCATCTCTCCATTCAGGGAATATCAGTCTTTTCCAGTGCCATGGTAACAAGATTATTAAAAAGGCTTCTTCGTCTCCATCCTCTGGTCCGAGAGCTGGTTCCTCTGTGGGACCTTAACATGGTCCTAGCGGCTTTAATGGGACCTCCGTTCGAGTCCCTGGCATCTTGTCCCTTTCTGCTTTTATGTCAGAAGACTGGGTTCCTGGTAGTGATAACATCCTCAAGGAGAGTCTGTGAGTTGCAGGCTCTGATGGCAGACCTCCTTATACACAATTCTCCAAGGACAAAGTGGCAATGACCACACCCAATTTTTTTGTCTAAAGTGGTTTCTCAGTTTCATTTGACCCATGCAGTAACTGTGTTCTTTTCTAAGCCACATTAATCTCTGGAAGAGCAGTGTCTTCATACACTAGATGACACTAGAGGTCAGGTCTAGCCTTCTATCTGGACAGGACTAAACTGTTTCGTGTTTCACCTGGCCTGTTTGCGTCATATGCAGATCGTATGAAGGGACAAGCAGTCTCTTCACAGATGATCTCTAAGTGGATGACATCCTGTATTAAGACTGCATATGAAATAGCTTTGGCTACACCTCCTCAGTAAGTGCAAGCTTGTTCTACAGGAGTGCAAGTAACATCAATAGCGTTCCTCAGTGACATTTGCAGGGCTGCTGTGTGGTCATCCATACATACATTTATGGACCATTATACCATTAACTCATCTTCCAGAGCGGATGCAAGTTTTGGCAGGGCAGTCCTGCAATCCTTGCTTAGGTAGATTCCAAGCCCCGCTTCCTGGGGGGATGCTGCTTGTGAGTCATCTAAGTGGAATACACGGCTGCATCTACTCGAAGAAGAAGAAGAAACAGGATTGGAGTCTAGTCTCTGGGCATTCGGTGTGAAGGAACTGAGGGGGATTGGGGTGGTGCCATCTCAAATAGGCAGGGGAGGGGCTATTGCCAGAAGGCGTGAATGCTGCCCCTCTGTGGGTACGGCTAGGCAAAATTCTCCAGCTCTGATGTTCTGGGCTGCACACACCTAAATGGAATACACGTCTGTATCACATCTCATCTCAAAGAACTCCCGTTACAGTAAGTAACCGTTTCTTCTCTGCCGTGAGAGCGTCTCTGATTCAAGCAGAGGGGTCTTGGGTTCCAAGAATTAGACTTGTGATCAGTTTGTCACAAAGGTGATGCCTGGAGATAGGGAAGTAGCCATGTGCTATGCTTCCCATAGAAGACTCCCTCCCCCATATTGAATTTTTGTTTAATTACATAGTTATTGGGATTTCAGTGAAACCTCTTTGTAAAAGTTTTACAGGTATTTTGTTTAAAAGATTAATAGCTTCATGATAAATACATAGTGCAGCTTCCTTTCTGGATAAGAAGGGACAGTAAGGCAGCCTCAGTTTGATGTTTGTGAGTGGAGTCTTTAGCCATCATCAATAGTGTGTTCTACAATAAAACAGAATGTAAATGCATGATCATCAGTCACTGTGTGATTCTGTAGGCATTGATCCTGGGTATTACAAAACTGAGTTCCAAAGAATTAAGGTTCAAGATATACAGTCACCGACTGAATGATGGTGTTTCCTACTAGCATTCAGGATGCATGATTTCTGGTTCCAGAAGAGGCTTTCATTTGACACATTCCTGAAAGTTCCTGTTCCACTGGACAAACGGAGGCTGTAAATGGGGATGGATGCAGCTGGACCCAAGAGCTACTTAGAGAATGTAGAAGAATGAGGAGGAAAGGGGGTGAAAACAAATCCATGTAATATGATGATGTGCAATAAAACCTGTGGTAGAAATAAAACTAAACTAAAATTAATTGCTTTCTCACTCTTCCAATATCTTGATGACAGAATGTTCTGTCAGATGCATGAATGTGTTGTACACAAACCACTATTTTTGCTAATATGGAAGATATACAGATGTTGAACAACTAATCAGGAAAGCATTTTTAATCCATTCCAGCAAATAATATATATGCTTACCTCTCATTGACTTCAATGGGAATGCCATAAGTAGAAGGGTTTCAGTACTGGGCCCATTGTAACATACACAGGTGGATCAATTTAAAGAATTAAGACTGAAATTTCATAAGAGGAAATTTCTGAGCTTTTCATAAATATTGATATCTGAAGCTAATACTGGAGCCTAATCTACACTAAAACCCTTCTAGAGCAAACACAGCTTATACCTGCCAATATAATTGCATCTATACTAGGGCTTTTGCGAGCATAAAAATGTTGCCAAAAATCACACCCCTAATTGACGTTGCCACAGGAGCAAAAATTATAGTGCTGCAGACCTCACCTTTTATCATTTAATATTTTTCTTTTTCAGAAACATTTACAGACAAGTTCTGCTGCTAAATAATTTGAAGATTTTAGTGTTTACTTGCTGTGTCTAAAAATTAAATTAACTGCCTGTGAATCAAGTCTACTTAAGCAGTAGTTTTTGCTGAAAAGGTTACTGCTGGCTTGTAGCAATCACCTTGATTATTTAAGCATCCTATCACCAGCTTCTATGTTGCAATTTTGAGGATGACAAAAAATGGCAGGGGGAGTGAGTATTATAAAGCATTCATTTTATTGTATAATTGAGATATCCCTCTGGAGTCAGGGTGTATTTTTGTATGGTCCATA